CCCAAAACCCCAAAACCCCAAAACCCCAAAACCCCAAAACCCCAAAACCCCGAGATTCTTATATAAAATTGAATAAAATGAGCACTGAGAATATTCATAACAATTGCTACAAAGCCATCAAGATTCGGAATCTATGGAAGAGGAAGAACACCAAAGAATGGGTTGACAGCCGCAAGGCTATCTTTAAGAACTGCCAGAACAGGACTTTTGAAATGAAGAAGAAAGATGATATTATCAGCAAGGAAATGATCAACGCCACCCTCTTTAGAGCAGGTATCCCAAGCACTTCTGAGATGAGTCGACTTAAGAAAATTCAAATAAAATAAATTCAGAAAAGAGCAAGAGAAGAAATCTCAAAGCCAAGGTAATGAAAGGAGTAAGACCGTCAATGTCAGGAGAGTTTCTCAGCTCCAAGCTGAGGCACAAGTGAAGGCTAATAAGCTAGGCAACCTCAATACAACAGATTCCACAAACTCTCAGCCAGGCGTAGCTGATATAAAATAATGTCCTACTCAAGAAAATTATGAAATCATTTACTTTGAAATAACAAGAAGAGCACTGATTTGTCACTGCAGAAGATAAAGCGTCATCAGACGTTCAACGCTCAGAACAAAAGTGATAAATAAGTCAAGTCCCAACAATTCGAAGCCTCGGAAGATGACCTCTGGTAAGAACCTCAGATTCACGATAACTTTGAGATGTAGCCTAATTTAAATAGATAAATCTAAAGAGAAATTACCAGTGATGGAATATGTTCAGGACTTGCTACACTCACAGTTTGAAATAATCTGTAAGCTCTGAAGGTCTAAGGTGCTAATTTAGGTGGGACAAAACTGACCAAGCACAATCGGAAGTATTTGAAATTCGAAAAGTCACATCTTGAGGAGCACATTTCTAAGATTATCAATGACTTTCCGATTCTTAACAAAACTATTCCTGAAGTGACCTTTAAGCACTTTGGAATGATTGAATCTCAAGTGATTTCCCTCGGGAATTCACCAAAAATAAGCCTTGAGGAGTTCAAAGACTTGTTTTACTACTTCTGAGATCCTCAAAAAGCTCTCAAAGCTACTTTCGATTGTATGTTGTGAGATTTAGTCAAATGAAAGGATGGGTCTATATTCAATGAATATGCAGGTTAGTACCAGCTACTACTATAGGACGAAATAAAGGCAAGAATCTGGTTGGTGTCATGACCGTTGGAACCATTTATAAATTCTTTGAGAGCAATATCAATATCCAGCACGATATCCAAGCTATCACTAGGGTTTTCGAAAGGAAGAAAAAGATCATAAGTAAATATAAAGAAGCTGATCTTGAATATACTCTTAATAAATACAAACGCCCTCAAACTGTTCTCCCACAAGGCGTAAGAATTCATGAAAGAAATAAGGAGGAAGAGAAGTACAGCCTTGGCGGATCGCCCAATGGCAAAAAGCTTAGATCCAGGCATAGAAAACTTCGAAAAATGGACTCAGATGTGTCTTGAGTTTACAATAACTTCACAAACACTGGGATTAATATTCAAACCCCTGACCACAAAAATAAATCAAGAACTTTTAAAGGAAGAAGGAGGTCTCGGATAAGTAATATTTCAAACCCAAGTTCTGTGAAGAACAACCCCAATAAACTTCGAAAACATGACTCAACATTTGGAAACTTGTCTCTAAAAAGAGCTCCCTCAAGCATCAAAGAAATTGAACTTTTAAAATAAGAATTCAAGTTCAAAATCGAAAAATGTAATTGAACTGCGGTAAGATTCTCTCTAATTTAAGAAAATCAAGCAAGAGGGGTGCTCTAAATCCGAAGGCTTCGAAGTCACCTCTCCCAAAGTTCGAAATCCAGGATGTAAAATAACGAATACATCGTGCTAAACACAAATGTGAGAATGAAGCATAAGCATGACATTTACGAATGCTTTATTAAATTCCAAGAATACTCAAATATAAATTTCCGAAACAGGGGCTATCCTGACCTGCTTCTGTTACTAATATACCGTAAGGCTCCGGTCTAACCTTCTAGTCATATTCGGAGAGAGGCTCTTCCACCACTATGTAGCCACTGTGCTAGGATTTGGGTCCAAGTACCCCTACATAGACGCTTTGGATGGATTTAAAGTTAAATATTAGATTAAGCGTAAATGGAGATTTTCAGGGTTTTGGAAAATCTTGGGGTTTTGGGGTTTTGGGGTTTTGGGGG